GGCATTCTTATATGCGTAACAGAATATGATGATGATGATGATGATCCAAAAAAGAAAAAACCAACAACCAGCGAAATAGTATTGAGAATCACATGAAATCAGGAATAACACGATAAGAACATAAGAATTAATAGCATCTATTATAACTCGGCATTCTTATATGCGTAACAGAATATGATGATGATGATGATGATCCAAAAAAAAAACCAACAACCAGAGAAATAGTATTGAGAATCACATGAAATCAGGAATAACACGACAAGAACATAATGATCAATAGCATCTATGCGTAAAAGAAAAACCTCATATGCACGGATAGTGTGACTATATATTTAGTAGGATAGTGTGACTATATATTTAGTAGGAAGAGTGTTTTGTAGAGGAGAACAAATGAATACGAGGAGATAAGGAAATTATTCAAAAGCATTGCCAACGTCACGGCTTACGGCTACTTTCCATATAGGACGGAAATGATGTTTAGGACGGAAATGATGTTACAAAAACAAAAAGAGTTCTTGACACTCCCAACCATTTTTTTTTTTTTTTTTTTTTTGATAGAAAATTTGCCACTGCCAACTTGTATGTGTGTTCAAAATTTAAATATAAGTAAGATTAAGATTAAGACTAAGACTAAAAACAGATAAATGATAAACAACTTGATAATTTTGTGAAATTAACTCCTTTTCTAGCAACCAGAGAATGAAGCAAGAAAACACACATGCCTTTAGTTTTATTTTCTTCTGCATTAATTTAACCAATATATAATTATATAAATGATGGCATGCTGTGTCAAATTTAACTTGTATTACATGTGAAGTATGTCTCAACTACATTTTTCACCTTGGTGACCAAATATCACACAATGCAACTTTTACTAAAAAGTACAGTTATTTCCAAAGTTTGAAATAAATTAAAAAAATAATAACATAAAAATAGATACAATATATATTTTGTATATTGTGTCGTATCCTGCGGTAGTTGATGAAGGCACAACTGAATGTTCTTCTACAGTGAGGTTGAGGTTTCTTTCTTGGGGGTATTAGAGTGAAATATTTATCTATGACCTCTGGTAGTTTTAGGATTTTTTTTTTTTTTTTTTTTTTTTTTTTTTTTTTTTTTTTTTTTAAGTTCCTTCCTCAACTTAAAGAAAATCCGGCTCAACTTTATTTTGTCTTCATGTTGATCGATACAGCAGGATTATAGCATCATGGCCTTGTGGATGAGTACTACCCCGATATTCGCTATAGTTATTATTCCTATTTAAATGAGTTATCAAAATAGTATAGAGGGACAATCGACGAAACAAGAATATGAGTCAACAAATTTGAACTCCTATATAGTCATAATCAGTAGCTTCAATGCAATGCGGGGCAGCGGTCGCTGATCAAGCAGGAAATACAGTGGTAGAAACAGGGGAAAAAAATATAGAAATAAACTACTTTCTGGTCCCAACTCATTTGCAGGTTGCATATAGAAAAAGCCATGTGGCTAAATGCCCTGTAATTATCAGGCTACAGAACGTAAATACAAAATCTATGTTGCAACAGGAATCAAATTCAAGGACCCAAGATAGAGTCACAAGAATTAAAGAGGGTTTTGCGATTAGCCGACGGAAAAGAAAAACGACTACAGAAAAGAGAGGATAATTGATACAGGGATCAAGGGGGCTACAAAAATTGCATTGAAAAACCAGGCACTATCCTCTACATTTCAATATTGTCCCAGTCAATCGATCTGGTCTCAAAACCGTATTCTGGTTGTTGGAGCCTGTTCCGAGCTAACTTGCTCATCATAGCAAGACCTGGGAAAAAAACGCCAAACAAATAATTATCAAGACTGACCTAGAAGAGAATATCAAGTTATGAAACCGGAGTGTGCAATTTTTTTTATTTTTTATTTTTTGCAAATGATGAACCAAATTATTGGATAACTGAGTGCGTGAATGTAAATGCATTGTTTATTATGAATCATTTAAAACAACCCAGGGACGAGTATTATTTGGTCAATGGCGATACCGTCAATTACTCTGTAAAGAGAAGACCACCAACTTTCCCTAGAGATCGCATAGTGATCCAGAGACTCATCGATTTCTTTGTTATGTTTTCCTTCCAAAACTCCCTGCAAAGTTATCACCGCATCCTTTGTTTTCTTGAGGATGTTCTCCTCGTCAATAATTTCCAACCTTTGAAGATCATTCTGCGATGAGCTGAGGCTAATACCAAGGGCGTGCTTGGCAGCAACAGTCCAGCGAGAAGAGGCCAGCCATTTCCTTTGTCCATCTAGCCGTTTACTTTCTTCTCTTGCCAACCGATTTTCTTCTTCTCTTTCACGTACTAAGCTGCGTAGATATTGAGCATTTGCAACTCCTGTGCTTTGAACCATTTTTGAGAAAGCACTGTCTTCCTTTGACAGCAGTGCCTCAGGAGTATCATATTCTAGAACCTGGAAAATGCAAACTCGAACATTATAAGCATCGAACTCAAAGATTTGAAATCAAACTTATTGGTCTGTTTGGACGTAAAGGTTACAATCATGAACAGAGATCCGTCCTCTCTTCACAAAGTTATTCCACTAGGACAATGGAAGGAAACATGGAAGAAAACAGAAGGATATAATTTTATAGGATTGAGCTAAAAGAGGCTCAGAATTTGAGGCATACCCGACCAGCATCAAGCAGAAGAACCCGGTCACAGTCAATAATGGTATTTAGTCTGTGAGCAATAATGAGCATTGTACATAATTTAAATTCTTCCCGGATAGTCTTTTGAATAAGAGCATCAGTTCTAACATCAACAGCTGCAGTTGCTTCATCAAGAACCAGAATCTTTGATCTGCGCAACAATGCTCGAGCAAGACTTAATAGTTGTCTCTGTCCAACACTGAAATTCTCCCCAGCCTCTGAAACCTTGGCATATTGGCAAAAGGTTTTTAGCCTTTACATATATCTTTCTAAGTGGCACTAACAAAAATGAAGTACTAAAATTGAGGATAGAGGTGGACTCGCATCCTGTAATTACAAATGGAACTTAATAGTCGAGGAGCTTTATACTATGGTTGAAATCTAGCCAATGAGAGAACTCACTTCTTTTACTATAAAAAAATAATTTATAATTGCTCAAGCCTAACAATAAAAGATGTTCAGGGGGAAAAAGGAAAAAACATCAAGGATGTAAATCTAGATAATGTCTACGCTCCTTGTTATAAAAGTGTTCAATCTTCTAACACTTTAACCTTTATTTCCATCGGAAGAATTGTGACCTAGTTAGCAATGAAGATCCAGCGAGCAGAGATGGATACATACCTCAGCATCCAATCCAAAAGAATTCCTTGCAATGGCGTTCTTCAAATGCGCCCTCTCTAAAGCTTCCCAAAGGTCTTGATCATTATGTTCATTAAAGGGATCAAGGTTGAATCTCACAGATCCTAGGGGAAAAAAAGAATAAGAAATCAAGTTGGCCATTAGGAAAATAACTAGCAAATAGAATAATTCACATCAGTTGCAACAAAATTGTAGCCACCTTTTTTAACTCACGGAAAAAAAATAAAAAGAAAAAAAGAGGGCAGGATTTATCGAGATGGTTAATAAGATGACAACTTAAAGGAGAAGACATATTTTTGATCGCTCATAGGAAAAAAATTGGCAAACGAAAGATAATAAAGGATTGAGAAACTACTTTTTAAAATGAAAAACATTTTGGGTGTTTGGAATTGGTTTCATAGTGTTTTTGAAAACGTTTCTACATGTCTTTTGAGACACGAAAATGAAAACGGTTTAAAAACCGTGTTTGTATAGCAAATGTTGTGAAAACGAAAACAAAAACAAAAAACAGTGATAAATAGTTTTTCTGAAAGAATTAGAAAACGGTTGAAAGTTGTTTTCCATTTTCTGTTTTTATTTTCTAGTACTTATCAACAATGTTATAATATATTAATTAATAATTATAACCAAACATGATTTCACTTTTTTATTATACTCAAAACAATCTCTTTAAAAACCAACCAAACGCAATTTCAGAATCAATTCCAGAATGATTCTCAAAACAATCTCATTTTTACTTTTATACTGAAAACAAAATCATTTTGAAATGGTTACCAAACGGGCCCATTAACTCTTTTTCTTTTTAAAAAATTGATTAAGTTGTATAAGAAATCAATAAAACAATAAATTTTAGACTCTGTACCTGAGAAAAGAACTGGTGACTGTGGTATAATGCCAAGAACTTTTCGCAGATCTGCTAGTCCAAACTTTCCAATATCACAATCATCAATCAAAATTCTTCCTCTTTCCAGTTCTACAATCCGAAATAAAGCATTAAGCATGCTGGACTTCCCTGCACCAGTCCTCCCAACAATTCCCACCTTATCGCTTGGTGATATTGAGAATGACAACCCGTGTAGAACTGGAGGAAGTTCAGGCCTGTAACGAATAACAACATCCTCAAATTTAATAGCCCCAGCTGAAGGCCATCCAGGAGGGGGGCGGTTACTCTCTATAATAGCCGGAGCTTCAGAAGGTAGATCTATATACGTGCCAACTCGCTCAACAGCATTTAAGCTATTCTCAGCCAGACTTGCAAGTCTCAGTACAGCAGTCAGTAAACTTGTAATGTTTAGAGCATAACTAAGAAGAAGACCCATTGTGGAAGCAAACTCTTGCTGGTGAGCTGCCCTCCCATTCTGCATGACAGCAAAGGTTGCAGTAAACCATATCATGAGGCCTCCCACAGTTTCCAAACGAATAGCAAGCCAGCGGTTTCCACTCATGTTCACTAAGCTGAATCTGATATTATTATTTACGGATTTTCCATTAATCTCTGCCATCCTATCATACGCTTTGTAAGCACGAATAGTTGATAGGCCGTTCAATGCTTCTCCAAATTGCGCATAAACAGGGGATCTGCTTATGGAGTCCAAGCGTTTCACTTCCCGGGCCGTGCTCTAACACACGGATAGAAAAGAAAAGTACCACCTATGTTAGCAGACATCAAAAGGACTTCATAAAAGTAATAGCAGTAACCGGCATTTTACTTTACCTGGTAAAAGAGATATGCTGCATAAAACAGAAGCAAGAGTGGCATTATGGCCCATAAGGACATTGTGCTCACTATTCCTATCAGAATAAAAGTAGAAAGCAGCTGTGACACTTGGCCTAGAAACATATTCACAAATGGAGCAACACTCCGATCAATGTCACCAAGATCCTTTGCAAATCGATTAATGATCCGTCCAAGGGGATTGGTGTGAAAGAATACCATTGGAGCTCTTAATATAGAGTTAAGCATGGCTTCGTGCAGCCTTTGAGCAGCATAAAGACTTGAAATAATCAACCAACAGGAATTTCCCAATGACACCGTAATCTGAGACCAATAAATGTTTAATAAGAAAAAAAAATGAGAACTGAAAACAAATTAAAAAAAAATGTAGTCTCCAATTGCCTATAAGAAAACAAAGCATCGAAGTCGTTAGTTCATTAATTCTCCTAAAAATTAAGGTGCTAAAAGGTGGATCTACATTCCCCGCTCATGTGTGGGTGTGAACAGTTTCAATGAGAGACAAGGAAGACAAATTTAAATAAATCTAAGACATTGGGCCCAAACGTCAAAAAGATATCAAAATGGGGACAAATTCAAACTTTTCCCACACCTAACAACAAATCAGGCAATGCACTTATAGTAGTTCCAACTTAGGACCACTTGCTGGAATACCATGTTAGTTTACCAATTTTTCTAAAAGCTTAAGTTGATTAAAGGCGGGCCAACAATAGTAAAAAGAATAAATTAGAAAAAAAATAAAAATAAAAATAAAAATTCCAAGTTCAGTGTAGTTCAGTTAAAAGAAAGTAAGCTGGAATTTGTTAGGTTGCCATTTCACACCAAAGCCTAAGTTATTTGGCGATTCCCCAATTAGCTTCTATAATCTTTAACACTAAAATCTTCATGTGTGGGTTTGGCATACATGTAGACATAGATTAACAAGGCCCAAGACGAGAATGATTTAAATGAGAAGCCCGGGACAAGAGAACCAGACATGAAAATTAATGACCAAATTGGATAGTGTACTTTCATAGGTTTGAAAAACTAAAGAGGGCTTACTCTGCAATAGTATTAGATTATAAATCTCCCCACTCAAGCTATTAAGTGGCCCAACATTGATCTTTATATTCTTGAAAAACTAATCTGTTTAATGTCGTCTTACCTGAGCAAATGATAGAAGCGCATATATCAGATTGTAGAAGCCAGGATCATAATTCACTGAAATTCCTTGATCAGTCCAATGGCTTAACCAGGTGCTACTTGAAATTCGTAGAATCTCAGTCAGGACATAACAGCTAAAGAGAATCATAACCACCCACAAACCCCCCAAGGCATTCTTATATCTGTGCCCAAAAGGAGAAGGCAGTAGGATCAATAAGTTATCTCATCAATACTTACAGGCAGGAATTTGAAATAGAAATAAAAATAAAAAGTAATAACGAATAGTAATGTTGCTTTTTATAGATCTTCAAGCACAGGAATAAAAAAGAGATTTATGACCTTGCCAGGACCCTCAAACTGACTACGCCCGTTTCACGTTCTTCCTGTTTAATAAGAATAGATCTTCCTTCTTTTGGTTTTCTCGAGTCATTTGCGTTCTTCTGAGCATCATTAAGAACTCCATTGGCAAGTGCTTTTGAAGAGACATTGCTATCAGTGGTTTCATGATCGCCTTCCTTTTCTTCGACATACTCTTCCATCTTCCCCGCATTTTCCATCAGCTTTTGGAACAGCACGCCAATATTGGATAGTTCCTCAAATGTTCCCTCCTCTTTAACTGTCCCTTCGTGGACCAGGATTATTTTATCGACTTGAGAAAGAAAATGTAGCTGGTTTGTGACAAGAACTCTTGTTTTCCCTCTTAATTCTCCTCGAATGCATTTCTCAAAAACCTGGAGTCAATTAATAGCACAAGTTAGTCAAATATATAATAGTAACTAAAAAAAAAAAATCATCCTTCAATCTGAACAGCTAGTCTTTTCTAGCATACGTGAGTATCAAATTCAAGATTGAAGAAACAACAAGAATACAAATGTTCTAATGAAGCGCGTCTTGAAACATAATACCAACCTGTCGAGCCACATGAGCATCCAAAGCACTTAGTGGGTCATCAAAAATGAAGACATCAGAGTTCGAATATACAGCCCTAGCCAATGAAACTCTTTGCTTTTGCCCACCACTAATGTTCACACCCCTTTCACCAATCTCAGTTAAATCACCACCCTGCAAAATGCAGGAAGTCAGACAGGCTAGAATCTTAGGCCCAAAGATGAAAAGAGGCTTGTATGGCATGACTTACAAAACTAGCTTCAAGTTAAAACTCGGGAAAAAACTTACAGGAAGCACGTCAAGATCAGGCCCTAATGCAGTTACATCTATTGCTTTCTCGTATCTTGCAGGGTAGAAGGGTGAACCAAATAAAATGTTATCTCGTACCTGCAAAGGTTGATATTGAATTTAGCACCATATGAAATTCACCATTATGTGATATTCAATTCATGTCCTAAAGGATCCTATCACTTACGGTAGCATTAAAAATCCACGAAACTTGTGGAACATAAGCAACTGTTCCTCGTATATCAACGCTCGAATCTCCCACCGAAGGAAGCTCCCCAAGCATCGCCGATATAAGTGACGTCTTTCCTTCTCCAGTGCTGCCAACTATTGCAACTAAGCTTCCAGCAGAAATATCCAAATTGATATTTGACAACGTGGACCTCTCTGCCTGCAATAGAAATAAAATTTTAAGGCCGGAAGATTGCATAAATATTGTGAAAGCAACAATAAGCTACAAGTTTTCAAATACCATTAGGAATATCAAAAACAGAAAAAATAATTTTCTTACTAATTGAAATAATAACAGAACATTTTCACAAGCAAGCGGTACCTTTAATAAAGGTATCGATCAAAGTAACACTAATTTATGTTGCACATATCGAGTAATATAAGTTGAAAAATCTTTGAGCGTATTATAACTGGTATTACTTCAGTAAAGACCAATTCACAATTTTCATTCTTGGAAGTAAAATGTAATTTCTTATTGAAAAAAAAAAGGTTTTAAATAACTATTGTATTTAAAAAAAAAAAAAAACACACACACACACACACACTCGCTCTCTCTATACGAAGACATTACTACTTACTTTCTTGTTCACATGTCTTAGTCATGAAAGTATCAATACAAAAAAAAAAAAAAAAAAAAAAAAACAAAACAGAAAAAAAAAAAAAAAAAAAAAAAAAAAAAAATCATCATATTTAAGTTAGACCTGAGAATCCCAAGAAAAATTTCCATTTTTTATCGAAATCGCTGGTAGTCTTGGATCAAGAGGAGGATTTGGCAGAAGAATCCTGTCCTCAGCTAAGAGTAGCTCCTCCAAACGTTTTAAGGATACATTTGCATTAACCGCCTGTCCAACTAAAGCATCGTTAGAAGCATAAAGTGACAATTTTATTTAAAACACATCACATGTGAGACCAGAAGATATACAAATGAAGTACACAAAACCTGAGTTATAATATTAGGAAGCATGAAGAGAGGAAAGCGAAGCACAGCAAACAAAGAAAGCGATGTAAATGCTACTGAAGGCGTCAGAGTTCCCCCAAGCATAGTGAACATTCCAAATGAAATCACAGTCACAAGAACTGGAACGCTGTTCAGTATAAATGCATTAAGCTGCCCAAAAAAAAAAGAGTTGTTGAGAATCATGATGTCACCGAGATTATACAAACATGGGCTTTCGAATATAATAATTATAACATTAATAATGATAATAATAATCAAGTAGATTAATCGAAATATTAGAGTCACATAATGTATTAATCAGTTACAATGTCAATATTTCCAACATATTTTAATATCCACTTTTTTCTTACAAAAACTCGTTTTATTGATCATAAATCAATTACAAGAAGGATAAGATATTTTCCATGGGAATTATAGAAGAAATAGAGGAAAAGGATAAAACAAGCAAAAAAACAAAAAACAAAAACAAAAGAAACTGAAACACACAACTAATCAGGACACAACCTAAAACCAAGAACAATACCAGAACAGTCACCAAAGACCCTAACAGCCCCTACGGCCCCATGACATTTTTCCAATTCATAGCAGTCAATTGAAGACGAATAATCCTTTATCATGCCCACAGATTTTAACATCCCCTACTTGATTTATAAGAAACAGAACCTTTATAAGTAAGGCGGTCCATAGATTGTTCAAGCACAAAAGAAAATATAACCTCATGTCATTACTTTCAACAATCTTCAGGTATATGAAACTGTTAGCAGATAAGATCTTTTAGAGATAGGTTGAATAAGTCAAATAGTTATCTTTATTATTTAGTTTATTATTTCCGGTTATTTGGATTAGGAATTATCAATTAGTATTTTGAATTCAAATAGGAAGAAGATAATGGACTTAGGTATTCAAGCCCTAGTCTATTTAAGTTAACTTTCTTTCGATTAATAAAGCAAGGCAGATTTATTTAAACTGCATTCATGGTATCAGAGCCTTGAACTCTGAATATTTCAATGGCAAAAACGGCCATGATGGGGTCCTCACATGGAGATGATTCCAAATCAGAAAACTCCGATAAAACTCACGCCGATCAGTCCGTCACGGCATTTCAAGGTGGAGACAATAACTCTCTCCAAATTACGGCTCACAAACTCAATGGAAAAAATTATCTTCAATGGTCTCAGTCAGTAAAGATTGTGATCTGTGGCAGGGGAAAATTCAAATACATCACTGGTGAAGCTAAAGCTCCAGCACCGACCGACTCTACATACAAAAAGTGGTTTGCCAAAAACTCGATTGTACACACATGGCTTATCAACTCCATGGAGCCCATGATCAGCCGCCGATATCTCTTTCTTCCTACTGCTAAAGACGTATGGGATACTGCAAAAAGAACATATTCCGATCTTGGCAATGCCTCAAAAGTTTTCGAAATTCGCACAAAACTGAAGGAGATGAAGCAAGGAACCAAATCGGTTACCGAGTACTTCACCGATCTGCAAGACAATTGGCAGGAATTGGATCTTTTCCTAGAAGAAGATTCGGTTTGTCCTACGTGCAATGTAAAGCAGAGACAGACTCTTGAAAAAGAACGGGTATTTAATTTTCTTGCAGGATTGAATCGGGATCTTGACGAAGTCAGGGACCATGTTTTAAGCAGAATGCCATTCCCAACAACCGAAGAAGCCTTTGCCGAGGTTCGTAGAGAAGAGAATCGCCGAAAGATCATGTTGTCAGAGGAAGAAACATCCGGTGGAGCATCAACAGAGGGCTCGGCTCTGGCAATTAGGAATACTGCACAACCAATAAGGGACAACAGTGAGTCTAGAAACCCACAGCGAGGAGAACGAAGGTGGTGTGACCATTGTAATCGACAAGGACATACACGTGACACATGCTGGAAAATTCATGGTAAACCCGCAAATTGGGTTCCCCGAAGACAGAATGAAGGACGAGCGCTTCAAACTCAATCAAACCAAGACAAAGGAGCAACAACAGAAAACCAGAAATCACTTTCGTTTAGCAAAGAACAGATTGAGCATCTCTATCGCCTCCTCAACCAATCACCTGCCTCATCCTCGTCAACTCCAAATCCCGAATCCTGTTCTGTAGCCCATATTGGTAACTTTCACTTATCCTTTAAGTCTACCTTCCACTCTAAGGAACCATGGATCATTGATTCTGGTGCCTCCGACCACATGACAGGTGTCTCTGATTTTTTCCTCTCTTATACCCCTAGTCATAGTCCTGTTAAAGTAAAAATTACAGATGGATCCTTATCTTCGGTTGCTGGAATAGGGTCAATTCAAGTATCCAAAGACTTAACACTTGAGTCGGTTCTTCATGTTCCTACCTTAAGATGCAATTTGTTATCCATAAGTAAACTCACTCGTGATAATAACTGTGTTGTTATTTTTTACCCTTCTAAATGTTATTTTCAGGACCTATCATCGGGGAGGACGATTGGCAATGCTAGAGTTCATAAGGGGCTTTATTACCTCGAGGACATAGAGAGTGAGAGTCAACAAGCATTTGCATCTGGAGTTTCATCAGTTTCTGTTTCTAGTAATAGGGAAATAATGTTGTGGCATCATAGACTTGGCCACCCTAATTTGTTATATTTAAAACATTTATTACCACCCTTATTTAAGAATAAAAGTACTGTTTCTTTTCATTGTGATATTTGTCAATATGCGAAACACACTCGGGTACCATTTTCTCCCAAACCTTATATGCCCTCTAGCCCATTTGCTTTGATTCATAGTGATATCTGGGGACCGTCAAGGATTACCACAACAAATGGAAAAAGATGGTTTGTGACGTTTATTGATGATCACACACGAACAACTTGGGTATACCTTCTTCGAGAAAAATCAGAAACCTGCCAAGTGTTCCGAAATTTCAATAACATGATCCAAACCCAGTTTCAGAAAAAGGTATGTGTATTGAGAACATATAACGGGAGAGAATACTTTCAGTCTATCTTGGGAGAGTACTTACTACAACAAGGAATCATTCATCAAAGTTCATGTGTGGATACCCCGCAGCAAAACGGAGTATCGGAAAGGAAAAACAGGCACTTATTAGAAGTAGCTCGCGCACTCATGTTTACAACAAATGTTCCCAAATATCTATGGGGAGATGCTATCTTAACTGCTGCGTTTCTCATAAACCGCCTAACTACACGCACCTTAAAATTCCATTCCCTATTATCCCAGCTCACAAAGACCTATCCACATCTTAAAACCATAAATAACCTTCTGCTCAAGACGTTTGGCTGCACTACTTTTGTCCATATTCATCCCCAAAAACGAACCAAACTTGACCCTCGAGCAATTAAGACTATCTTTCTCGGCTATTCTCCTACCCAGAAAGGATACCGATGCTACTGCCCTAAGCAAAAGAAAATGTTTATCTCACATGATGTCACCTTCTTCAAAGACATGCCATATTATTCCCCCAGTTCGCTTCAGGGGGAGAATCATGATCAAGAAGCTCACATATGGGATTGGGACACCATTGCTCTGCCTATATCCGAAACTCCACCTATGTCTATAACCTCATTGCCCGAGACTGAAACTGAAACAGTTGCAACTACACCCACCACATCCGACCTTACCACTTCCAACATCATACCACCCTCTGAAAAAATGCCACAGCAAACACAAGTACCTTTTCCTGAAACAAAAACAGGAAGAGACCTCAGTGGACCAAATCAACAAGTGCTACATGTTTACTCTCGGAAAAAACATTCTCAAGGAAACAAGCCCCTCATGAACACCATGCACTGTCCAGAATCCGAACCAATGCTAGGAACTACTTCCTCAAATCTAGGTAATTCGGAAGACACTTGTGAAACGCTAGATATACCAATTGCCCATAGGAAAGGTGTTAGAACATGTACACAACATCCCATATCCAAATTTGTGTCATATGATAATTTGTCTCCATGTTTCCGTGCCTTCACCACAAAGTTGTCTAGTGTCAATATTCCCAGGTCAATAGAAGAAGCTCTAGCTGTTCCTGAATGGAAAAACGCAGTACTTGAAGAGATGCAAGCGCTCGAGAAAAATAACACATGGAGTGTGGTTGAACTACCACAAGGCAAGAGTGTGGTCGGATGCAAATGGGTATTCACTGTCAAATTCAAGCCGGATGGATCAATAGAAAGGTACAAAGCACGACTCGTTGCAAAAGGTTTTACACAAACCTATGGAATCGATTACACTAAAACATTTGCCCCAGTTGCAAAGTTTAACACAATAAGAGTCTTCCAATCTTAGCGGCAAATCTGGATTGGCCTCTGGTTCAACTTGACGTGAAGAATGCTTTTTTAAATGGTGAATTGGAGGAAGAAGTGTATATGAGCCTACCACCCAGGTTTGAAGAGGGTAAGAGAAACAAGATGGTGTGCAAGCTGAAGAAATCGCTATATGGACTAAAACAGTCTCCGCGCGCATGGTTTGATAGATTTTCAAAGGTGATCAAAAGCCACGGATACTCACAAGGACAAACCGATCACACGTTGTTTGTTAAGCACTCATCAGATGGAAAGATCACAGTCCTAATAGCATATGTAGATGATATAATACTTACTGGGGACAACTTTGAAGAAATGAAGAGAATTAAAAGGTTAATGGCTAAGGAGTTTGAAGTTAAAGATCTTGGTACGCTGAGATATTTCTTGGGAATGGAAGTTGCAAGAAGCAAAAGTGGGATCTCCATATCACAAAGGAAGTATACACTAGACCTATTGCAAGAAACGGGTATGCTGGGGTGCAAACCGATAGAAACTCCAATTGAACAAGGAGGCAAGGCAAAAGCAATTGGTGGAGAGATGGCTGATAGAGAAAGATATCAACGGCTAGTGGGAAAACTGATATACCTCTCACAAATGCATTCACCACGCCAAGGACACTTCGAAGCTATTTATCAGATATTGAGATATCTCAAAAAAACTCCGGGAAGAGGATTATTTTTTGGAAAAGAAGAAAACAGGAGAGTGGAAATCTTCACTGATGCCAATTGGGCCGGATCTGTCGAAGATAGGAAATCAACATCCGGATATTGCACATGCCTTTGGGGGAACTTAGTGACTTGGCGCAGTAAAAAACAGTCCATAGTAGTAAGAAGTAGCGCTGAAGCTGAATACAGAGCCATGGCTCATGGCATCTGTGAAGCAATTTGGTTGAAACGGTTGCTAGAAGAGTTGAAGATCAGTTGTGAGTTTCCTATGCAACTCTACTGTGATAACAAGGCTACTGTCAACATAGCACACAACCCAGTTCACCATGATAGAACCAAACATGTGGAGGTGGATAGACACTTTATTGCTAAAAAGCTAGAGAAGGGAATCATCAGCATTGAGTACATTCCTACAAGACAACAAGTTGCGGATATACTCACCAAAGGGCTTTCTGAACCAACGTTTGAGTATTTTGTAGGCAAGCTTAGGCTTATTGATATCTACGGCCAAGCTTGAGGGGGAGTGTTAGCAGATAAGATCTTTTAGAGATAGGTTGAATAAGTCAAATAGTTATCTTTATTATTTAGTTTATTATTTCCGGTTATTTGGATTAGGAATTATCAATTAGTATTTTGAATTCAAATAGGATAGATTATTTTAGAGAAGATAATGGACTCAGGTATTCAAGCCCTAGTCTATTTAAGTTAACTTTCTTTTGATTAATAAAGCAAGGCAGATTTATTTAAACTGCGTTCAGAAACAAACAAAACAAAAAGATTTGATGTCATACCGCTCCTAGAAGTGATGCTTTCCAGAACCAGGATAGTTCATCAGTCCGAACATTTTGTACCTTAGATTGGAAACTGCTCTCCCATGCATAGCATCTGATCCATGTTCAACACGTACCATCAATACATAAATATTTATGTTTATAAGAACACAATTTTAAAATGAAGAAAAATTACAACAAAAGTAACATTTTAGAGACAAGAAGTTCTCAAAGAAAATAGAAGCCAAAAGAACTAAAAATGAAATAAATAAATAACTAAGTCATACTTCACAGTATCCATTGCAGCCAAAATTTCATTCATGAGCCCAATTCTCTTGTCAGTACGTTGCAGCCCCTCCTTGGTCAATTTTTGCATCCTGCTTATCACAAATGTCTGTTCCAACAAAATAAATCGAGAATGTTAATGGTAATTTATTTTTATCAGGTACGGACATCTTACTATCAAAAAAGAAAGCAATGTTGACCCGAGGAAAAGAAAATTTTAAAATATCATATATGCACGTAGATAATAGATAAAACTTGGAAAAAAGAAATAAACTTATGATCAACATGAGCTCCGGTATTCCCTATTATAGAAATGATATCAAAAAGATGAGTGAAAGTGTAACGCTGGGTTCCCAGCTCCAGAAGGAAATCTGACTGAATGATCATGCATGAAGGTGACGAATTTAACACAAGCGTAAATTAAGGCAAAACAAACAAAAACATAGAAAAAATGGTAAAAGAGGAACATTTAAATAGGGTAACACTTAACCTGAAAGGGGAACATAAGAACCAACAGCAATGCACCTAGCAGTGAAGCAACATGCAACTGCTGATACAGAAGGACCATAGAAACAATGATACGAAACGGAGCCGACCATAAAGTGTGAAGCGATTGACATACTTGCTGTAAAATGTCAAATAGAAAGTAGTTAACCAAGGTAGTTTTAGAAAAATCTAGAGAGTTGACGGTAAAATATTACAACAAATTAAATCAAGAACTGAGACGCAAAGATTTGTTTTCTTCTCTGGTTGAACAAAAAATAAGCACGCATACCCATAAGCGGATACACTTAAGTCATTAATGCATCAAAACAACATGAGTTGTAAGACTAATCGAACTTCGGTATTCTACCCATTAAGAAAATGTGCGTTTATGTTTGGATGAACAACTGGCTGTGTGGATCAGTGGTTTATGTGCTCACAGAAACTATGGGTGTTAATGACAATTTCATCTCCCCTACTCTAATTGACAAGGTTATGAAATTAAAATTCTGAATTACCTGTGGCAAGGAAGTGACTTTTTCGCCGAGATATAACAAAATCTCCCTAAAAGAAGCTATTTGTTTTTTTTTTTTTTTTTTTTTTTTTTTTTTCCTGTCCCCTTTTTTTTTTTTTTTTTCAAGACCCGTGTGATGATGAAATGTACGCCTGTTTGTTTCGTAGGTCTAAACTACAATTCAAACCTTTTTACTATAGTGTTATTTCTCACAAAAATTGGAGTCTATGTAAAACTTTCTGTTCAGACCTATGAATCAAGTGGGCTGGTAGTACTTTCCATAAGGAAATACTGAGATAAAATTTTCAACTCAGGAATCTATCTAGCCTAGTGCCTGATCAGCTAATCATCTACCAAAAAACAACAAAAAACAAAAAAAACAAAAGAAAAAAACAAAAGAAAACAAAAGTTGAACCGTTAACACGGAATACAAATGGTAGAAAAAAAAATAAATATGAACTAAACAATAAATAAAAAAAAGAGAGGACTATAGAAAAGAGAGAAGCTCCTGCTTCTCTCTAGAATTTTACTAGGTTTAATCATTTTGATTAGGATTTTAGAACCAGACATAAGGTTTTCATTTTCAGATTAGATAACTCAGGCAATTCCAGCAAATTGTGGTTCTTTGGTGGTTGAGAGAGTGGTGGGGTTCGGTTCTAACAAAAAGGCCAGAGTTTTATGGAATAGTATGGTGCTTTCAATACTATGGACTTTGCGGATGGAAAGGAACGCCCGGATTTTTGAGGAGAAGGAAATGGAGATAATGGATCTTTTTGAGAAGGCAAAGTTCTCCGCGTCAATATGGGCTGCTTCAGATAAAGCTTTTGAAGGATTCCCCTTTTCTTCGGTCATTTTGAATTGGAAAGATGTAATAGGCAACTGATTTGAAAGTTTTTGTTGTGTTTTTGCATTTTTGCACCTGGTCAGCTATTGGCCTTTTTGTTTTCCTTGGTCTTGAGGATACCTCGTCCTCTGACCTAGTTTATTGATCCTATCAATAAAGTTTTTCTTATAAAAAAATAATAAAAAAAGATTAGATAACTCAGGCAGCGTGATTGAGATTACGAAGAGAAATAGGAATGAGAATTTTTTGCTTAAAGTAGATTTGGGTGGTGCAGCATGGTTATGCAACGCAGTTGGGGGAAGCATTGCTCCAAGGCAAAGGGAATGGTTTTCGAAGATTTTACAGAGGTCATAACGATCGGATGATCGTAGAATGTTGCAGGAACATGGGGGTGATTTCATGACGGTTTCGAAGATTCAGAATGGAGTATTAAGGAACATAATAGTGCCAGGCGAACATGCATACAGAGGCTGGTACAAGTTTAAGAGGTGTATTGACAGCTTCTTCAATAAGTCGTCCAGGTCAGGAAAAGTTCAGTCAAGTCTAATATCCAAAAAAAAAAAGGCATGAGGTTGAGTATGTAGCAATAGAGAAAGGTTCAACGAGCGCTCTGAAGTCCTGAAAAATGGCAGTAGTGGTTTTCAGGAATAATTTGGAGACAATCCTTGGAAAGCAGATTAGGGAGGAAAGTAGAGGTGATCCCATTAGCTGCGGATAGGGCCATCACGTGGTGTTGCAACGATGAAGAAAAGTCAAGCTTGTGTTTGAACAGGAAATTCGTTGCCAAGGTAAAAACCATGGAGTATTTACTCTCATTGGGAACAAGTTCAGGTGACGGATTGGCACATGTCTTCCGCTGAATTTATGGAATTACCATACGTTTAAAGTGATCGGAGATGCTTGTGGTGGTCTTTTGGAAATAGCCAAGGATACATTGAATCATGCTAAAATTAAAATACGGGGTTTTCCATCAAGCTTTATGGACCCCATATTAGAACTTGCATGTCAAGGGCACAAGATTCATCTAGGCCTCTTTAATCTGAAAAACGAGAGAGAGGTCGGCATGCTTTCAAGAAGCGTTTCAGAGGAAGATGAAGACGATGATGTTGAATTCCCTCGAGTCAAATTAGTCTAGCGTGGATTGTTGATGAGCGGTCGAACACGTAGCATATCAGTGGTTCGCTCGGACGTGGCAAGAGAAGTGGAAGCGCCAGATAAAAGGCAAACTCTTTCAGAAGCAGGGGTGGCTGATTCCAGAATTCTTGGGAGTAGAAATGCTGCCATCCAGAAACCAATTGGGACCCCACGAACCTTCTCATACAAAAAACCTTCAAGGCAGATGCAGGCCTGATTTTATGATTAATAACAACTGGGTCGAGAGAACAGCTTAATCCAATATGCGATGGGCTTGTTTCCTACTCCAATACTGGGCCGATATCAGCGCCTCAAGTTTTTGGGTCTCCAAAGCCCAATTCGTCAAAAGCCCAGTCCCTACCAATCTTGACAGAAAAAATATGCAAACCCACAAAGTGGAAACCCAAGCCTCGTAGTGGGTTTCAAAAGCCCAAGAGTTTTACAAAGAGAAAAAACGCCCTACACTTTCAAACTATAAAAAGCGAAGGAGAAGCTGAGATAAGGAAAATAAGTCCGTTTGATAAAACGTTCATACGCACAAGGAACCGGAAGATTTTCATCCCAATTACGAACACTAAATTGGCAGCAGAGGAGTTTCTTGGAGGCGAATCAGACGCTCATTCAATCGATTCAGGTTCCGAAGCTGATAATTTCATGGGAAGGGACGATTTTTCCTTGGAAGAGAGCAATACCAAATCAGTTTCTTCCTACTACATCTCCTCCAATTCAGATCAGATCGAAGAAAAGCAGGAGCAACTTGTGGGAGTTGAAGAAATAGACTTCTAATAGATGCAGAGGATGACGAGCCTTCGGAAAACAGGTCAGTAGCAATCAATATCTCACTTGATTTTAGTTTGGATCAGGTTTTTCAATCTCCTCCATTAAATATAACTCTTGTGCCGGCTTTTTACCCGTTGCGTTTGAGTTTTGGAAGCGACAATCTAGGCGCCAAAACACTGGAATTGGAGCTTTTACCGGGCGTTCTGAGGGTTCTAAAGTTTTCGTATGGAAAAAAGGAGTTAGTGAGAAGCAGCTTGACCTCAAATTTGGCATTAGGAGGAGACTTTCAGATATGGCCAGCCATCACTTCGCTCATGCAGAAAGTAGAAGAAAAGACGAGCAAAGAAGAGACTTGTAGCGATCCTGAACTCCGATCAGGTTATCGAGTCCGAAGGTGCGCACGATAGAGATATTGAGCTAGATCAATTCAAAGCAGCAACAATAGATGAGCAAAGGGCGGAACCGTCAATAATCTGCAGCTTTTTACAGAAGATGAATTCGGCAGTGGTTAAAGGAAAGCAAAGTGGCATTGATGCGAGTGGCAGTAAATCAGGCACAAGAAAGCTTAAGAATTTGGAGTTTAATATTTCACTACGAGAAGCATAGTAGTGGAAGGGGTAAGACTGATCATAAATGAAAATTATGAGTTGGAACATTAGAGGGGGTAATTCTTCTTCAAAAACAAGAGTTAAGGAGATTGTCTGCAAAGAGAACCCCGATTTGCTTGTAATCCAAGAGGTCAAGAAACAGGAGGTTGATAAAAAATTTGTGGAATGGATTCTGCTTCCAGCAGTGGGTCGTTCAGGAGGAATTTTAGTAGTTTGGGTTTGGGATGTAAGGAGGCTTAAAGTGGTGGATAGTTTCTCTTTTCTTTTTTTTTTTTTCTTTTTTGATAAGAAACGGATAACTTGTATTAGATAAAAGAGAAAGCAAATATAAAAGGGGACAAATAGTCCACCAAGAAAACACAAAAACTACAAACCACAGAAAACAAGCCTAAAGGTCTACTAAACCAGAATCCACAAAAAGGCTCAAGATCCCAACCCCTAAGTGGATCTAAGAAAGATAAACTAGTAAAACCTTTAGAATGGAAAATCCACAAAGCTACCCAATATCACTACTAACTCCTTGTGTGTCTTCAAAGATTCGATTGTTTCTTTCGAGCCACAAAGACCAAGTGACTGTAAGAACAACTGTATTCCAAAGCCTTCCTAGCGACAAATCACTATCAAAAAGCTCCACTATGCTATTTGGGGGAACCCACACCAACCCGAACTCACGCAGAACACGGTACCAAATATTCAATGCAAAAGAGCAATGGAGGAATAAATGATCAGTTGTCTCTTCAGCATTTTTACAAAGAACAGCCCACCCAGGGGAGAGATAAAGGTAAGGCTTCCTCCTCTACAACAAATCCTGAGTGTTGAGCTTCCTTAAGGAGGAGCCAATTGAAAATTTTAACTTTAGTAGGGACCGAGGCTTTCCAAATAAAATGACACAAACTAAAACTGGGTAAGCACTATCATCAATAAAGGATTTGAATAAATATTTGCAAGAGAAAAGTCCTGAACTATCCAACTCCCACGACCATCTCTCAGGAGTAAATTCACTTAATCTAACTCCCTCTAAACAAGTCAAAAGCTCTGCCAACTCACCCAATTCTCTCTCACTGGAGAGAAAAAAGAAAAAATTGAAGCATTGTGAAGAGAAGAAATTCTGTATAGGCTTGGAAAACGGATTGAAAAAGGCCCCTCACCCGTCCACTCATCCTCCCAAAATCTAGTTCTCCTCCCATCCCCCACAATCAGGTTAGCATGAGTTTTAAAACACCCTGCAGATCCTGAATGGCTTTCCAAGGACTCCTAAAAGTCGTCCTGACACCAGCCCCTGTTTCCCAATCTCCAAAATTTGACCCATATTTTCTTTTTATCACTTGACACCACAAAGAATCGCCCTCCCTAGGAAACCTCCACAGCCACTTAGAAAGTAAAGCTTTATTGCAAAAAATCAAATTACCAATCTCCAGTCCTCCTTTCTCCTTAGGTTTGCACACTTCGTTCCATGCCACCAAATGAACAGAATTTGAATCCTCACTACCCTCCCAAATGAACAGAATTTGAATCCTCACTACCCCCCCAAAAAAAAGTTCCTCATTAACTTCTCAATCACCACTGCAACACCTTATGGAATTTTAAAGATTGAGAGGAAGTAAATCGATAGATAAGATAAAACCGATTTAATGAGCGTCAATCTCCCCCATCGAGACAAAAACGCTCTCTTCCACCCATCAAGTCTCTTAGCAACTTTAGCAACAACCGGTTCCCAAAATGCGTGACTACGAGGATTTCCACCTAAAGGAAGGCCAAGATATTTAATTGGCCAAGCTCCCACCGAACACCCCACAAGGTCGGCAAGACTCTCCACTACTTCCACCTCAAGGTTGACCCCCAAAATAACGCTTTTTCCAACATTAATTTTGAGCTTAGACACGAAGCAAAACACATCAAGAATAGTCATTAAAGATTGAAGATTGGCCTCGTCGTTTTCCAAGAAAAACAAAGTATCATCCGCGAATTGCAAGTGAGATATCTTAGTTCCCTCCCCAAACTAACATTTTTTCCAACATAAATGTTGAGCCCGGACACGAAGCAAAACACATCAAGAATAGTCATTATAGATTGAAGACTGGCCTTGTCGTTTTCCAAGAAACACAAAGTATCATCCGCGAATTGCAAGTGAGATATCTTAGTTCCTTCCCCACCAATTTTTAAACACCGCAATATTTCTTGATTAACTGCTCTATCCACTAATCTCCCCAACACATCCGCCACCAAAGTGAAGAGAAAAGGGGACAAAGGGTCTCCATGTCTTAAGCCTCTTGAGCCTTGAAATTTCCCCATCGGTCAGGTATCATTCGAGAAAAGTGGTGGATAGTTTCATGGGAGATTTTTCTGTGTCAATTAAGGTGAAGGAGGAGGATTCTAATTGGTGGTTCTCTGGGGTGTACGGCCCTAATAGTTATACTAAAAGGAACTTGTTCTGGGATGAATTAGCTTGTTTTGTGGAGCATTTGCGGGCTGAGATGGTGTGTGGGAGGCGACTTTAATGTAGTAAGATATTTATCCGAGAAGTTGAATAGGGGGAGAGTAACCAAAAGCATGAAACTCTTTAACGAGTTAATTGGTGAGTTGAATTTGAGAGACCCCCCATTGAACAATGCAAGGTTTGCTTGGTCCAATTTTCAGGTGACTCCGATATGCTGCCGGTTAGACAAATTCTTATTTTCAGGAGATTGCATGGATGGTTTTGGTTTTTCTCGTCAAGAGGCAGTAATTCGTGCAGTGTCAGATCATTCTCCCATTATACTGACGAATTGGGGCCCATTCCCTTTTCGTTTTGATAATCCGTGGCTGGACAACTCTAAATTCCAGAAGAATGCAAAAGATTGGTGGGAGTCTAATGATGTTTCGGGGTGGGAAGGTTACAAAGTTATGAGAAAACTGAAAAACCTAAAAAGCAAGATTAAGGAATGGAGTTTTCAGATCGTTGGGGAAGAAAGATTGGAGAAGTTGAAAGTCCTTAAAAGAATAGAAGAATTAGACAAATTGGAAGGCACCCAAGCTTGGCCAACCGTCTTGCTCGATAAAAGGCGAAGCTTGAAATTTTCACTGCATCAAATTCTAGAAAAGGAGGCGAGGATCTCTAGAATCAAATCAAAGATTAAGTGGGCAAAAGTGGGGGCTGAAAACACCAAGTTCTTTGATAGGATTATGTTAGTAATTAGGAATCAATATAATAAGTGGTTAGTGGTTTGTTATGTTTGTTAAGTAGTTAGTAGTTAGTTAGGCCTTGGAATTGGTGAGAGGAATAAGAGTTAGGAGTATAAATAGAACAGGGGGTAGAATAAGTGGCATTCATTCATTTTGTACAAACTTCTGAGAGGAGAAAGTCTAGGGAGAGCAAGGGATCTCTCGAAAATCCCCATATTCTTTCTGTAACTAACTTCCGCCATTAATACAATCAAGCTTTTCTGATATTTTCCTTCCGATTCTGCCATAATTCAACCTTCCGATTCTGCCATAATTCAACTATCAGTGGATTGGAGCTTATCATTCTTCCACCGATTATTGAGTGCCAGGAAATCAAAGAACTTAATTTCCAAGCTTGAGACCAGAATGGATAAGGAAGAAGAAATAGTAAGAGGTTACAGAGTACTTCAAGAGATTGTACACTTCAGCAGATTCAGGTTTCATTGGGATCTAGGGGCTGGATTGGAAGCCTATACTTAATAGCAGCGCCGAGTCTTTGGACAAGCAGTTTGACTTGGAGGAAATCAAATGAGCGGTGTTTAGTTGTGATGGGAACAAAACTCCGGGCCCTGACGGTTTTTCGATGGCGTTTTTTCATAAAAGCTGGGATTTTGTTAAAAATGATATAAAAAGGGAGTTTGATGAATTCTGGACCAGCGGAGTTATCAACGGACTCACGAACTAGACCTATATCCGTCTCATTCCAAAGAAGCTTAATTCTTGTAGAATTGGAGACTTCCACCCAATTAATCTAGTAACCAACCTTTACAAAATAATCTCGAAAGTGCTTGATGAGAGGATAAAAGAGGTGTTGGAAGACACTATTGCAAAGGTCCAGGGGGCGTTTGTGGGAGGGGGACAGATTTTAGACCTTGTGCTAATAGCAAATGAAGTTGTGGAAGATTATAGGTCTGGGAGGAAGGGGTTGTTTTTAAATAGACTTCGAGAAAGCACATGATCGGGTGGAGTGGAAGGTTTTAGATTTTGTCCTCGAGCAAAAAGGTTTCGGGGCTCGGTGGAGACAATCGATTCAAGGATGTTTGTCATCGGTGTCGTACTCAGTCATGATAAATGGCAGACCGCGAGGCAAATTTTCAGGCTCCAGAGGTCTTAGACAAGGGGACCCACTTTCCCCTTATCTTTTTATTTAGTCGCAGATGCTTTGGCTAGATTGGTGGACAAGGCGGTAAATTTGTCTATTTTTGAACCGTTTCGAGTAGGTAGATCCGAGATTCAGATTTCTCAACTACAGTTCGCCGATGATACTTTTTTCTTCTATATCTCTCCAATCTTTTGTCTCTGTTGGACGCTTTTTGCCTCGTCTCCAGCCTCAAGATCAACATGGAGAAGAGTGCACTCCTTGGTATTGATATCGAGGAAAATAGGCTGCTTAGGTTGGCAAATGTGTTGGGATGTTCGGTGGGGGAGTGGCCTACAAAGTATTTGGGTCTGCCTCTTGGTGGTAATCCCTTGCTCGCTTCCTTTTGGGAGCCTGTGGTGGCCAAAGTAACCAGAAGATTGGCTGGCTGGAAAAAGGCTTTTCTCTCTAAGGGAGGTAGATTAACAATGATTAATCGATACTTTCGTCACTACCGGTCTATTTTCTTTCGGTCTTCAAAATTCCAAAAGGAGTAGCGGCTGAAATAGAGAAATTAATAAGAGATTTCTTTTGGAAAGGTTATGATAACGAGGAAGTAGATCAATTAGTTGCATGGAACATAGTGTGCAGATCAAAGTGTAAGGGTGGGTTGGGGATGGGGAACATTTTGAAGAGAAACGAAGCATTACTATGCAAGTGGTTATGAAGATTTCCGTTGGAGACTGATTCTTTATGGCACAAGGTGATTAAAGGCAAATATGGATTGAACCCAAACAATTGGGATGCAGGGGGAGCGAACAGAGTATTTTATAGATGTTCTTGGAAGGCTATTCAACACTATGCTGGTGATTTTTTTCAACAGGTCCGATCGAACGAGGGATCAGGGCACATCATTAGATTCTGGGAGGACAGTTGGTGTGGCGATGGTCCTTTTTCAGAAAGATTTCCAGGCTTGTACAGGTTGTCACTTAACCACAATCAGCCCATTTCTCACTTTTTGGCAGATAACAATCAGAGGGGGGAGAGCGAGTGTCTTTGGGATTTAAAATTCCCTAGGAATTTATCGACACGAGATTTCAGAGATTGCTGGCTTATTGGCAGACTTAGAGGGTGTTCAAAGGTGGGAAGGGATTCAAGATAGAAGGATTTGGAATGTTGACAATTCAGGGTTTTTCTCAGTAAAATCCTTATTTTTTGATAGTTGATCATGCAGTCCCGGATTTTAAATTTTATGATTTTATATGGAAAACCCAAATCCCTTCTAAAATTAAAGTGTTTTGTTGGTTACTACTTGGTAAATTGAATACTCACAATTCCTTGCAAAAAGGGAATCCATTTCTTGTTATTTCTCCAGGTTCGTGCATTCTTTGCAAAGGAAGTGGGGAGTCGGATCACTTATTTTTACCTTGCCAATTTACATAGAAGATTTGGTGCTTGTTTCTGAAGGAGATGGATTTGTTGTGGCCTTTACCCAAAGACTATAGCGGCTTAAGGGAGTTGTTTCTAGGATCAGGCTCAAATAATAGGCGGGGTCAATTAGGAAAGGTGGCGATGATAGCTATTTAGTGGGGAATTTGATTGGAGAGGAATCAGAGGATTTTTGAAGGGCTTGTGGAGAATCTAGACACAATTTGGGACAGGATTAAGATTAATACTGCTTTCTGGATTCATTGTGATAAGGAATTTAGCGACCTTTTGTTTTCAGATCTTGTTAGGAACTAGTCATCTTTTTTATAGCTTCCTCGATTGTTTCTGGTGTTTTTTCTCTGAACTTTGTTAGGAACCTTTTTGTTCCTTTCCCGATGTAATCCTTTTTCTCTTTCCTTAATAATACTTTTCATCTTGTTTCTTTAAAAAAAAAAATAGAAAACTGTAGAAAGTGCATGCCTGAAGGGATTCAGCATCAGTTGTCATCAAGTTGGTTATTTTCCCAGATGCAAAATTCTTACGAGCTTCATGAGTAAGCCTCAAGGATTTGCGGAATACAGCAGCAATCTGCACAGGCAAATTTAAAAAAAAAAATATATATATATATATAACATCTTTAAGTTGGGTTTTGTAGACAGTTAATGAACTGCAACTTTCCTATAAAAACGATCCTTAAAGCACAAAGTCCTTACTCCTGATACACAATATCAGCAGAACATGTGCAAGCCAAAAAAAAATATTCCACAACAAGAGCCCTTGCAGAACACCTATAATTAAGCTCCAAAAGCTATAGGGTTAACAAGACAAAAGAAAAGATTACCAAGGTTGATCTTAGCCTGAAACCAACTCGCATGACATTCTGGAAATATTGAGCTTCGCATAACACCCCGAAAACCTGTACGAAGTTATACCAATGAGAAACTCAAATTGATCTCTTCGAAAAGAAAAAAGAAACTTTTTTTTTACTACTCAATCATTTTTAACTCCCAATTCGATAGAAAATTGCCAAAGGTTTGTTTCTTATAAAACAAAAACCAATTCAATGCTGTAGAATGAGGCTATGCCGATGTTACATGTTAGTTTACCAATTCATCCCAAAAGCTTAAGCTATTAGGAGGTAAGCCAATAATAGTTTTATATTTTGACACTCCCCCTCACGTGTGGGCTGGACAATAGATAATCGTGCGGGTAAATTAATTGGAAAGCCCAACACGTGAATATTTGATAATAAGCCCCAATTATATTAAAAACCCAACACATGATAACAATTTAAATGGGGATAAAGAGTGCAATTATGAGGGTTTGAACTCAAGGCCTCCTGCTCTAATACCATGTTAGTTTACTAATCCATCCCAAAAGCTTAAGCCATTAGGAGCGGCTTTATATTTTAACAAAACAAAATGTAGATAAAAATTTACGTTAGTTCTTTTTTTTCTTTTTTTTTATTAAAAGAATAAGCTTATTAAAGAAGAAACTTTGCAGTTGAGAATATGGCTAGTAAGGGACCACATCTTTAAACCACAAAATGCAAAAAGCAACTACCACAGTTTTTATAGTGAAGAACATCGCAAGAACCACATTTATTCATAAGAATTTATATGAATAAAACTGAGGAGCACGATGCAAGCAATTTACATATGCGCATATGTAAACAGATTCAAAAGCAACATGGAGGATTTATATCATACCACTCCAACAAATATTAAGAAGGCATAGATGTAACCATTCCATGCCGGTTCCCCTTGTTGCATAGACTGCAGAAATTCAAGCAAGTATTCTCAGTGAAGTACCTTAGAACAACAAAGAGTACAAAGAAACACAAACAACTTAACCATGACTATCATATCAATACTTTTTCCCTCTAATTAAAGATATTCCACAATGCGTGGAATGTGATATCAACAATAAATACAAATTGAGTCATGCACCAATAATTTTCAAAGTAACAATTTGGCCATAAAAATGCCAAATGCTTTCCTCGAACGCCGCAAGACAGATAAATTCGATAAATCTGGAAAAGACAACATCAGTAAATGGAAGTCAAATGAGGTCATGAGTATGGATTAGGATCAAATAAGATAATAGAGTTCCCTGAATTCCTGTTTCTTATTTTATACATGTGACGTCATGAAGTACTTGCCAGTTACCAATATCAAACAGTAAGAATGATAATTATAGCAACAGTAAAGGCAAAACTAATTATAATGTTCATAAGGATAATAAAAACAACAGTAACAATAATCATAACCATAATGATAATAAAAACAATGCAGAGGTTGATAAGCCCAAGTTGGGATTACCAACATGCAAAATCAAGTAATAGTGGTGAGCATCTGATAATGAGATGTCAAAACCAAAATAATGTAGGAGATGCCTCCGGCAAAGAATTAGATTAAATTAGAGAAAGAAGAGCTAACCTGTAGGAGACGATTCAATATAAGAGGCCCCACAAATTGAGAAAGATCATTGCCAATCTACAAATTATAAAGTAAATGAAAACAATAAATAACGTAATACATAAATTTAGCAATGCCATCATGTGGTGTCAAATCTTCAAAATGCTTTAAGTTTGAAACAAAAGACAATCCTCTCAGACACTCACCATGCCTTTTTTTTTTTTCCTATATAAGAATAGGAAAATTGTAATTCAAAAAAACAAAAAATTCTCTCAAGTCAAGTTTGTGCTGAAAATGCTACAGAAAATTCATATTAGATTCCTGCAGGCTATAACTGTGTCACAGAGGCTAACACACTAACAAACACAGCTTTATCTTTTTTTATACAATGCGGGATCGAAACTGCACCCTGCCAAGCCCAAGCCCCAAGCCCCCACCCACCAATACTGTTTGACCTAGTGGTCATTGGCAAAAACATAACTTTATTCATTACCATACAAGACTATCAATCATTTTTCAATTTGTGATTCTAATTACTGGTATATTCATCGACGCACGAAGCTACAAAACAGAATTTTCATATTATTACATACATTGATCAATGTGCTCTGATTACAGAGGATATGAATTGACAAATTTCACAGAGCGCGTCCCCCCTTAGTCCTAAGCTTAAAAACTCATTTAACTCCTAACCATGATTGAGACTTTTTAATTCTCTAACTAAGCTCTACTAAGCTTTTTTTAATATTTTAATAAGACATGGAGCAATTTATTGAAAAAGAAAATGAAGAAATATGGAATAGAAGAAACTTCTCCTCTAATCCTTTATTACGTGAAAGGTAAAGGCCTTATATAGAGAAAGTTGACAACAAATCTGTCAATAATTCTCCACGACTATAGAAACTAGCAATCCCTTAATTTAAGGAATAAATCACAGAATTAAAACTACAGAGATAATAGGAAACAACCTTCCTTATCCCTTCATTTAAACACAACCTAATAGGAAACAAATCCCTAGAAAATAGGAAACCAGAAACGGGAGATTTGTCAACAGAAAATAGTAAGAAACAGGAATAATGGAGAATACTAACCAATAGCAACAACTATCAAGTTCCTCTCAACGGAGCAAACAATATTTTCCTTGTTTAGGAAACACATTCATAGAAAAGCTTCAGAATAAATTATCATGTGATCTTGACATGATAAACAGAAAAAGAAAAAAGAAATCACACACCCACGTCAAAAACATAAAATTCCCAATACTAGTCCATTCCATGCTTCATTTCAAAGAGAAACTCAAAGTGGCAACAGGTATGAATGAGCTATATTTAGAGAAGAAATGTATACACAGGGCAAAACATAAAAGAATAAGCCAAGTACCTTCCAAAAGCCTCCCCACCAAAACCTACGTGAAAAGTAAAAAAGAGGGGTGGAAAAGTAAGAAAGATTAGAATAGATGCATTACTTACAAACAAACAAGGCAATGAAGAAATCTACACAATTCAATTTTCAGCTCCGTATCCGTATACTTACCTTCCCCCAAGGCTATGGTTTAATGCTCTTAAAAGCCTTGGCTTTGGCTTCCGAGATTCCTCAAGCCAGCATCTCTGGAATCTGCAAAGTAGAGGGGAAAAAAAAATATGAACACAACCTTCGAAAGTGAAAATTGAAGTACATGAAACCAACAAATAAAGGGAAAAACAAGCACATACGTCGTATTTAGTGTCTCCGTTGTATCCCAAGCATCCAATTTCCAGACATCCTTCTCTGTTAGAGGCCTTTGGTAACCAAGCTTCATCAGGGGATTCATCCATGAAAAGAATATTTCTGGTAAAAGAAAAGAACCAAAATATGAGATGATACATCATGCAAACGAATCATTCAGTTGGATGCTAAAAATTAGGCACAAAAAGGTAGGACAAGGTGAAGATGCAGCTACCATGATCTTTACACTGCCTCATAGTCATTGTTTAAGCAGTTTATGAACAAACTATTAAAACCAGCTTAAATCAATGTAATCGCCACAAATCAATAAATCAATCGACAAGAGAATTTCAAAGTTAAAATAAAACAATAAATACCCTTAACAGGTGCATTATAAGCTGGTTTCTTCTCTGGTAAAATAAATAAATAAATAAAAGGAACATCAAGGACAACTTGTGGCAAATCACACGCATGGAGAGTTTTGTTTGAGGAATTGATAGTTTCTCAATCAACATGCATAGTCTTTTAGTGCTACATAGCCAAGAATATGAACTAAAAGGCCATAGTAATTCAAGAGACGTACTGGAAACTATGTTGACATGTCTCTCAGGGCATATTTGATCTCCTCCAGGAAGATCTTCATATGCGGCATCGTCATGTGATTCAGGTGGCATTTGTGTATAACCAGGATAGGGATCCAAATGAGGAAGATGCACAAACAGAAGAAGTCCAAATAAAACCTACACCAATGCATCAGTGATAAAGCAGCGGAAATTAACATTTTTTTTAGCCCAATAAAAGATAAATCTCAAGCCAATTTCTCAAACAATGAAAGTAGACTGTCTTTTTCGCCTCATATTTCACAATATGTTCTTTATATTGCATGCATTTGGACTAGATGGCACACTGCCGATGAAACACATAGCTAACAGCATCACCCTTTCAGTTACAGCCAGGCTTGCCCATCTGGTGTAGGAGCAGACCAATATAGCTAATGTGGATGAACCATAATGCAATTGGTGAAAATGCATAATAATCATTGAAATAAAGGATGGAAAGAAACAGAACCAACATACCTGGATGGCGACTTCACTGATGTATAGATACAAAACAGATCTGCAAGGACAAGCCACAAACATTGTCAGCTTCTTTAAATAATGAATACTAATTTGAAATATACGGCATGACTTTCATATTCTAGAAAGCGTTGATTCTCACGCACTGATTATGTTGAATAAAACTTCAAGTTAAGAATTATCAATCATATCAAAGACATATAACTCTTTTTTTTATAAGAAAAACTCACTTTTTTTTTAATTCAAATGACATATTATTCTACTATTAAGACTCACTTTTTGTGGTAAATAATTCATTTTCTTATTTACGTCATCATGTCATGACGACAATGGATGTTTAAGTTTAATCAAAATAGATGAAAAAGAAGCAAACAATCTGCCAGAAGTATAGAACCATTTAAATATTCATCGTTAATAATTTTTAGAAGGGGTGATTGATTTGAGATTTATATATATAAAACCCAGAAAGTTGTACAAAACATTATGTATATTAAAATCAAAGTAACATATACCTACTAAAAAAATCCCTCACTGAAAGAATGAGATTGAGCATCACAGCATCTCCCACCAAAGCATAAATGACTCCAAATCTGACAAACCACCGGAATTCACGGATGTAAACTTTGGTCTCCACACTAATCATGACCAGCATAGAACACCAAGCAAGTGCCTCAATCGTCAGAGATATCGCCTGTGGGAAAGGAAGGATGAAGCTAAATATATGGAAATGAATGCAAGATTACTGGAACAAGAAAAAGATGCTCACATGGACTAAGTGCTCCTCATTCAAAGATCTTCGAAGATAAATATTTAAATTATATGGACCCAATTAAATTGACATTTACAATAGATGTTGCCTCAATATTCACAGGGCTAACCAAAATGGTATTCAGTTCCCGAACATATTGTAGGAAATCTGTGGCAAGCTAGGTTAAGGAATTGGGTTTGTTTGCCATCAATTGGCAGGTCGGAGGGGTATTTTAATAATGTGGGATGTTAGAACCATTCAAGTTGTTGACACCTTCATTGGGTCATTTAAGGTGTCAATAAAATTTCAAAAAGGGGGTTCTTTTTAGTGGTTAACAGGGGTATATGGACCAGTGTCATATAAAGACAGAAAATTTTTTTGGGATGAGTTGGCGGGGCTGCAGGTGATTTGTGGTGAGAAATGGGTGCTGGGAGGTGATTTTAATGTGGTTAGATTTACTCATGAAAGATCTCACCCTCCTAGGTCTACTAGAACATTAGATTGTTCGACAGACTTATTCAGGAAGGAAATCTGAAAGATATTGTGTTATCTAATGCTCACTTCACATGGAGTAATTTTAGAGAGGCAGAAGTGAAAAGTAGATTGGATAGATTTTTATTCACGTCGGAATGGGGAGAGGAGTTTCTGGGTGTGAAGCAATTGGTTAGGAGCAGATCGGTCTCGGATCATAGGCTTGTGATATTAGACACTAATCCGGTGCCTTGAGGACCTTGTCCATTTAGATTTGAGAGTATGTGGCTTGAACACCCACAGTTTAAGGAGTTTTGTAAAGAGAAATGGGACTCTGTTGTGGTGAAAGTATGGGAAGGATACAGATTCTATGAGAAGTTGAGGAGCTTGAAAGCGTCGGTGAAGGAGTGGAACAAAGTGGTGTTTGGAGATACGAGGTTGATCAAGAGTGACTTATTAGCTAAGATTGATTTCTTAGATAGAAGAGAGGAAGACGGGCCTAAATGAAGAAGAAAGGAGTGAGAGAAGAGCTTTGAGGAATTCGCTTGAGGAGGTGATTTTTACGGAATCTATTTCGTGGAGACAAAAAATGAGATGTAGATAGGTCAAAGAGGGGGATGCTAATTCTACGTTGTAAACAACTTAGTGAATAATTGGAGGAATAAAAGCTTGATATCTAGACTTGAAAAAGAGGATGGAGTAGTTGTAGAAAATGTGGAGAATGTGGTGAAAAAGCTGATAAAATATTACGAGAAACTATGCAAGGAGGAATCATTGGTACAATGGTCGTTTGAGGGTTTAGAGTGGCATCCGATTCAAGCAGAGAGGGCTGATTGGTGGGAAAAACCTTTTGAGGAGAAAGAGGTTCGGGAGGCTATCTTCTCATGTGAGATAAGTCACCAGGCCGAGATGGCTTCTCATTGGGTTTCTATCAAAGATGTTGGGAAGTGGTTAAAGGCGATTTGTTAAAAGTGATGGAGGAATTTTTCAATAATGGAGTAGTGAATCGAAATACAAACCACACTTTTATTTGCCTCATTCCAAAAAAAGAGGACTCTAGAAGGATTTTAGGCCAATAAGCTTGGTCTCAAGTCTTTACAAGATAATTGCCAAGGTGTTGGCCAATCGATTGAAGGAAGTGTTGGGGGATACCATTTCCAAGAGTCAAGTGCTTTCATAAATGGTAGGCAGATTTTGGATAGCAAATGAGGTTGTTGAAGAATATAGAGTGGAGGGCAAAGAAGGATTGGTGTTCAAGATAGATTTTGAGAAGGCCTATAATCATGTAAATTGGAGTCTTCTAAGGCAAGTGTTGGAGAAGAAAGGTTTCGGTCAGAGATGGATAAATTGGATCATGGGGTGTGTTAGTTCGGCAAATTTTTCCATTTTGGTCAACGGTAAACCGTGTGGGAGGTTTGGAGCTTCCAGAGGATTAAGACAAGGAGACCTGCTTTCTCCTTTCCTTTTCACTTTAGTAGTTGATGGTCTGAGTAGGCTGATCGAGAAGGCGGGGGAGTTGAGTTTAGTCAAGGGATTTAGAGTTGGTAGAAACGACATTCAGGTATCCCATTTACAATTTGCAGATGATAATCTATTTTTTCTTGAACCCTCTAGTGAGAATTTTCGAAATACAATCTTGATTTTGAAATTTTTCTCTAAGTGCTCGAATTGAGAATTAATATGGGGAAAAGTACATTGAATGGGATTAACTTGGAGGAGGAGGTGATTCAAAGTATGGCCCGGGAGTCGGGTTGTGAAGTGGGTTCTTGGCCAATGAATATTTGGGCTTACCATTAGGAGGAAACCCCTTAGCTAGGGAATTTTGGAACCTGGTGTTGAAAAAGATTTCAAAAAGATTGGATGGGTGGAAAAAAGGATTTCTCTCTATGAGAGGAAGACTTACGCTTATTCAATCATTTTTGTCGAGCATTCCGACTTATTTCCTTGCCCTTTTAAGATTCCAGTGGGTGTTGCTAAGGAGATTGAAGCTCATATGAGATGGTTCTTGTGGGATGGCTTGGAGAGGGAGTCAATTGATAATTTGGTCGCTTGGAAGGATGTCAAAAGATGGGGGTTTGGGAATTGGGAATCGGTTGAAGAAAAATCAAGCTCTTTTGGGTTTCTTTGGAACAAGACTCTCTGTGGGCCACAATTATTAGGAGCAAATATGGATTGCAATCCAATAGCTGGGATTCTAACCTTGTTACTAGAGGCACTCATAGGAATCCTTGGAAATTTATTTCTCAGGGTTTGAACTCTTTTCTTGAGAGAGTGAGATGGAAGGTGGGGGAAGATGGAAGGTGGGGGATGGTAGTCGAGTGTTCTGGGAAGATAAGTGTTACCGAATATAGGATAATTATGGAGGAGGATTTGTAGCTGTTTAGGAGGATTTGCAACTGATTCAAAAGGAATATTCTTAGAGACTGGGATTAGCTGTTTTATGATATTCTCTGTGATTTGTATTTTATTTGTTATGATTGTTTTCCTTATTTAACCCAGCCGGTCTCTTCTATATAAAGAGACTAATGTAGAGGTTGAATATGAGTGAATAAAAAATAAGCAGTGTTTTTCCTTTTTCCTCTGCCATCTCCTCGAATTCCTGCTGTATGGTATCAGAGAGGGACGAAGTCTAGGAGTTCTGGAATTTCGAGTTGTAGATGGCAGCATATAAAAGGGCGTTGACTGGAGTAAGCGGAGGCGATGTTTCTGAGGAAGTGTCCTCTCAAACTACCTCCACAATTGCTCCCATTGCTGCCTCCCAACCTGTCACTTCAATTCCTGAGAGTTCTAATAATCTATCCCTTCAAATCACCACCCACAAGTTAAATGGAAAGAATTTTCTCAAGTGGTCCCGATCGGTACTAATGGTCTTACGAGGAAAAGGAAGACTAGGCTATTTGGATGGCACAATTCCGCAGCCTAAAACAGGAGATCTTTCGTATGAGAATTGGGAAGCACAAAACTCTATGGTGATGGCATAGTTGATTCACTCTATGGAAGACAACATCGCGGACACCTACATCCTGTTTCCCACGGCCAAGAAGATTTGGGATGCAGTCAATTTGGCTTCCTCTGATGTGGAGAATACGTCACAGATGTTTGAACTAAGGAACAAGGTAAGAAATTTGAAACAGGGGGAGAGTGATGTCACACAATACTATCATGAGTTGACAAAACTCTGGCAAGAGTTGGACCTGCTTTCATCCCCTTCGTGGAAAGACCCTAATGATGCAGTCATGTATAGAAGAATGGTTGATCAGGATTGAATATATGACTTCCTCACTAGACTTAACAAGGACTTGGATGAAGTCCGAGGTTGACTACTTGGAATGAGACCTCTACCGCAAATTGAGGAAATCTTTGCAGAAGTACGTAGAGAGGAATCAAGGAAGAGGGTCATGCTCGGAGGAAATATGCAGATCTTGGAAAATTCTGCATTGGTTGTCCGTGGACAAGAGAAGCAAGGAGAAGAAAAAGTTAATAAAAAGTGGTGTGATCATTGTAAAAAACCATATCACACCAAGGAGAACTGCTGGAAACTACATGGCAAGCCGGCAAATTGTACACCCCGGAACCGTGGACGTGAAGGAAAGAGATTTCAAGCAGCCATTGAGAAGACTGAAGAAGAACCAGCCACTGCAGCACTTGTTTTTTCTAAAGAGCAGATGGAACAACTAAGGCAGATGTTAACACAATCATCGTCCCACTCTCTTTTATGGCTCAGAGTGGTAAAGCACTAATTGTTTTTCGTGGCTTGGTAGAAAAGGAAGAACCATGGATTATTGACTCAGAGGCAACGGACCATATGACTGGGTGTGCAAAGTTGTACACCACATACACTCCTAGCGCTGGAAACCGCAAAGTGCAGATTGCTGATGGAACCTCTTCCGTGGTAACTGGTACAAGGACAATAAAAATTGGACCCAATGTCACATTAAAAGGGGTCCTTCATGTGCCAAATTTGAGCTTCAATCTCTTGTCCATTAGTAAAATAACCAAAGACTTGGATTGTGAAGTAATATTCTTGCCATCTGTTTGTGTTTTTCAGGACCAATTATTGGAAGAGGATTGGCAGTGCTGAGGAGCTAGATGGCCTATACTACTTTGAGGAGAAATCCAGTTGTAATGGGAAGGCTCAAATGGTTGCAAGCAATTCTCTTTCCAGAACTCAAAAATTATGTTATTGCATTATAGATTAGAATATCCTAGTTTTCCTTACTTGAAATTTTTGTTTCCTTCCTTGCTCAAGAATAATGAAAAATTTCAATGTAAAGTTTGTCAATTAACAAAACACACTCGTGTCCATTTTTATCCCTTACCATATCGTGCATCAAAACCATTTGTTCTTATTCATAGTGACCTGTGGGGACCTTCTCGTGTTTCAAGTCTCGCCAATAAAAAATGGTTCATAACCTTTACCGATGATCACACACGGGTTTGCTGGGTTTATCTTCTAAAGGAAAAATCTGAAG